ACCGAATCCTGATTACACCCGCGCTGCGTTCCACCCTCGTCTTCCATAGTGCGCTTGCCACCCGGAGAAAATACAACGATTTCCTACAAATGGCCACCGTGTACAAATGCCTACGACCCGACACGCAGCGCCTGGCCATCACGCACCTGAAGAAGGGAAACCGCAACAACATCTTCGAGGTGAAGAACCTGTGCGGCATGATTCAGTATGTGGCTGGCCAGCAGTCCGGAATTCGGCTGCGTACCGTGTATCTGCATCGCTTCGAACAGGACATCGTCCCGAGGTGCCCGTTTTGGCCCAGAATCAGTAAGCCGCACTTTACCGATTGTGACCGTCTCTCGGCTTGGGTTGACGACGGTCGGCTGGATTGGCTGCAGGACTTCATTGCCAAATGTGGCAGTCTGCCGTGCGATGCCATCCACATCGGCAACCGCGTATTCACCTACGGGTTTCGCATCAAGCGAGATGCGGAGGAAAAGACGTCGACACGGCAGATACACATCGGTGTTCGTGCCATGCGGTTTCCGCGCTGTACTGGTATCGTCTGCGCATTTTGAGATGCGTTGGAGGCGGTGTTGCCGATGCCCCATGGGAACACGGTGTACAAGCTGATCCAGCGGCTAAAAGCCGGTCGGAAACTGAACACGACGGTCATTGTGAAAGACGTTGTCTGTCAGGTAGTAATGATTCGCGATTAATTAGCTGTTGTTACGACTGGGAGAACGTTGAACTAAACATTTGCCTTACAGCCACTGTGCGCGCTGCAGTCCGCTGATCCGCGTCCGTCCTCGCATTTTCGCGGGAAGATATGGTGCGTGGACGGGCTGAAAGATGTGCAACTGGAGAAACTGTCGCGCATTATCCGCCATTTCCTCGTCAAATTACAGAACTGGGCGACACGGAATGAAATGTGTCGTTTGTGAGGGCGCGCAGAATTGTAATTGTCGTAAATCGGAATCGCTATTGGTTAATGTTCTAAGTATATGGGACGCTTTTTCACGAATGTAGTGTTATTCTGCAATGAGGTACGATTCGTTTACTCCTTCACTTTTAATTATTTGGTTTTCTTGCGGCCTACTTTACCGAATTGCTGTTTTGATTCGGAGCCTCTTGATACAGATTCTGCAGCGGTTTTTGTATTACATTTTTCTGTAATTCACTAAGTTTTTATCAATGAATTATTCATACACGTTTTACAATTCCGCAAAACTTCGTGTGCAAGGAAACGAAATAAACAACACATTATTTCTACACTTCGCCTAATCACACACCGATGCATGACGCTGTGTCATAATAAAGTTACACTTAGTCTCTGCTTCAGGGTCGGGTTTGACTGTTTTTTTTGTGTCCTCGAAAAAAGCATCGTCCTCAGTGCAAACATATGATCCCGAACATTGGCCTTTATTACGCAATAAGTCAATGCAATAGTTGCAGCTATTTCAATGCGTGGCGGGTGTTTTTTTATGCCGGCTTGGATGTTGTGCGTGTGTTCCCAGCGTTGTCTAGCGTGTGATCGACGATGTGTTAACCAGAACTGAACCCCGGAACATTATGTGGCGAGAAGTTGGTGAATTCGAAATCGTGTCATGAGCTTGCATGATATAAAGGCGGAATTTACGTTAGGTTGCAGGAATCTACACCTTTTTTCTGAAAAAGAAAACAACAAAACACTGCCGTTCTTTTGCTGTTGTTTTATTAGGCCCGCGCTCAAGCTCGGACTTGGACTCGGACTCGGACTACTAAAACTTGGACTTGGACTTCACTTGGACTCTAAAACTTGGACTCTAAAACTCGGACTTCACTTGGACTTGGACTCGGACTTCACTTAAAATTGGACTTGGACTTTACTTGGACTCTAAAACTTGGACTTTATGACTGAGACTTAGATTTAGGCATTTCTTAGGTTTCTTAGGTTTCTTAGGTTTCTTAGGTTTCTTAGGTTTCTTAGGTTTCTGAGGTTTCTCACGTTTCTTAGGTTTCTTAGGGTTCTTAGGTTCTTTGATTCCTTTGGTTTCTTAGGTTTCTTAGGTTTCTGATGTTTCACAGGTTTCTTAGGGTTCTTAGTTTCTTTGATTTCTTTGGTTTCTTAAGTTTCTTTAGTCTTAGGTTTCTGAGGTTTCTAAAATTTCTTAGGTTATTTGGGTATTCTTTGGTATTCTGCTAAACCTAAGAAACCTAAGAAGGCTAAGTAGCCAAAGAAACCTAAGAAACCTGAGAAAACATGAAGAAGCGTAAGAAGACATAAGAAACATAAGAAGCGCCTAAATCCAAGTCAAAGTCATAAAGTCCAAGTTTTAGAGTCCAAGGAAAGTCCAAGTCCAAATTTTAAACGAAGTCCAAGTCCAAGTAAAGTCCGAGTTTTAGAGTCCAAGTGAAGTCCAAGTCTAAGTTTTAGTAGTCCAAGTCCGAGTCCGAGCTTGGGCGCGGGCCGTTTTATTAGGCTGCTCAGTAGTGGTCGAACAGCCAACAGTAGCTTACGACCAAGGAAGAAGCACGTAACGCCTATGCGGTCCGTGCCTCCAGGGTAGGTAACTGCTGTCCGTTTTCGCGCGCGTATCATGTAAAGCTTCGGGAAGCCCGTTCATCCCCAGGCATCCGGAACGCTAACTGGCGGATGCCCATCGGGGCAAGAACGGATGAACTGCATCCTCGGAACCTACAAAAAATGATAAGTAAAATCCGCGGTGAAATGCCGCAAAGGGAGAAAAAAGGGTGGTACGTACCAATTAACTCATTTTGTGGTATTTTATCACAATGGTCAGGCTAGAAGCGTAGACGAGCCCTCCAATTATTCTCGGAACCATCCATGTCGTCATAGACCAGGATGGCTGCGAAGATAATTGGAGCCATTGTCCCTTCTTAAGTGCGATTGCGGTAAGTGCGGTTGTGCGAAGAAAAAGAGAAGAGCGTTGTGCGTTGTAGAGAAGAGCGTTATAATTCACATTTTGTACAGTAAACCATAAAAAGGTTTATATAGTGCTGTACAGCACCATATAATTATCCAATTAATTTTTTCCGCGACGAGCGATGATTACGACAACAAAGTCGTAATCATCAGCACTGGTTGGTTGCGAAACATAGTCGTTGCTTACTTCTTGATATAGCAGCATGTTTTGACTGGGGGTCCAGGGCCCTACAAGGTACCGCCACCAACGGAGGCCGCAAGAGAGCTCCAAGGCAAAATATTATTTCCTGTGTGTGGAAATAATTTTCCGGTCAGTCAATGGTGCTGATCCAGAATCTGCAATCGGAAAAATTATTGAAATCGAGTGGCCAGATAATTTTTCTCATGGCTGATTCCGAATCGGCGCATTTGATTTGGCTGGAATTTGGTGTTAAAATGCGGAATAAAATATTTTCTCTTGGTACGCTATTGCGACCGCCCATGACGGCGGTACGTTGCATGGCCCTGGACCCCCCAGGAGTAACATTTTATTTTTCAAGGAGATAGTTGTTTTTATCAAAAAAATTCGCTGATTCCGAATCAGCATTCTATTTTTTTTAATGGGCGTAGGGCCGTGCTCTAAACAAGCCCCGGCGCCGGTCCCGGCAGTCACCCCCGTGTTACGGGTTTTTGCCGAAAGTCATTATTACGATGCAGTTATTTTGATTTCTGTTAATTCCACACAACTTTCGCTGATAACTTAAACGAACGTGCCAACAAACGGCATGAAGAAAGAATTGCAGTATTATGTGACTGAGTTTCGTTGACTGCTGATGTCAGCCAGCTGGTCGAAACATTTGCCAATTAGTTTATATATTTCGCTCTTTATACTTAACTATTGCACAGCTGCGTACTACTTGTAGTAGTGAGTCGGCGGTATCCGCCGTAAACCGTTAAACGGGCACCGCTTTTTAATCAAAAGTACAGAGTTAGATAGATCGTGTGTCTAACGAATTTCTGTCTGCTCCCTTGATTAAATGCGTTTTACGGCGCCCGGTTGCTTCCCCAGGCGGACATCGCCGACTCACTAGTAAATACGTTGCTTAAGGAACGGAAATTAAGAGACTTATGTGTACTTTTCAGTTTGCAGAAGCAACTAATTTTTCATTTTCCAGAGCAGCATTTGCAAATAAATGGTTGTATTTTGCGGCATTTTATCGTATTTCAAAGTAAAGGAAATTTTAATCTACATAGTAACACAGACACAGAAAACGACTGCAGCAAAACGAGACGTTAATGCAAAATTACAAAATATTAATTAAGCGTCTACAAATCCAGCTTGTACATGCAATCCACGGAGTTTGTCAGGGCAACATCACAATTTTAAAATAAAAAGATACAGTAACAAGAAACCTTCCAATCATAATTATGCGATCACAAGTGTCAAATAACGGCTAAATTGCGCAGGCTCTTCATCTGTGCCAAGATATTCCAGCTCCAGTGCGCATGCTGGTGTTTTAGGAGCTCCATCGCTTCATTACAGTGTGCATGCGTTGGCCGCGTCCAATGCGATACATAAAATACGAGTACCCTAGATGTGCTATTTGCAGATTCGTTAAAGAAATTCGGTGGCTTCAGTTTCAGGAATCAGTAATGTACAATAAGGTCATGAATGCTTCCAACAATACGTACTCGTATTGCAAGTTCAAGAACAATGCTGCAGGGCTAGAAGAACGGAGATTTGATCATTGATCAGTTAATATCTTGAACACACCTCCGGATCATAAACACTCAATAATGTCATCCTAAAACTGATAATTCAGTGATTTAATGCGACGAGTATTTGAATATGCTCTGTTGCACGATATACAAGTACAGTAGTACTTGTATATCGTGCAACAGAGCATATTCAAATACTCGTCGCATTAAATCACTGAATTATCAGTTTTAGGATGACATTATTGAGTGTTTTAAATTTTTTTGAGTGTTTAGTGTAGTGAATTTTTTTAGTGTTTACTCTAGTGTTTGCTAATATTCAAAAATGTGACTGTATTTCATGTAGAAATATAAGTAAGTGTCACAGAAAAGCTGCAGGAGCTTGAAATACATAATTATTATTATCATTCGCGCGAATTCGGCTAAGTTGCAAGTCGTTGCGCAGAAACGTTGAAATTCTCTTGCGGAGTTGCGGTCATCGGATTCTGAATTTATTCCTCTGCTTTTGGAAATGAATAACATGTGGCGCTCCTGCTTTCAGTGAAATTCGTTATGTAATTCCTTTACAGGAATGTTTCACGCAAGTCCAAATGAAAATTTCTGCCGACAACGCGGGCATTGTGCGCTAACCGAGACACCCAAGACTTGCTTCTTATAATATCACACTCAGTCTGAACAACTTCGTGCGCAAGTTGGACGCGCGCATTACCGAACAAACCAACAGTCCAACAACGGTTCTTCCAGATGTTTCCATGATACCCGGTCGACCACAAGATGCACCACCCTGGTTGCGCGGCGTTCCTGCAAAAATGTGGTATTTAAGGGTTGGCTGGGTTGCCAGCTTTTAAAGACTACGAGGAGGGAACAAGCATCTTTGGTAGCGCGTTCGAATAGTCCAGACACTTTGAACACTCGTGTGGCTGCAGATCTGGCTTGACAGTCAACCGCAGAGGGCTGGCAATCCACGTTTAACTTGGCCACGGTTGACGGTGAGGTGCACGCAGATGGGCAACATTCCACGGGTGGCTGTTAAGTGAATCATGCTGTCGCACACTTGACGCACAGTGTTCAAGGTGTCTTGACTATTCGAACGCGCTACCGAAGACGCTTATTCCCTCCTCGTATGGAAACTAATCTATCCGCTAAACGTACGTATATGCGAGTGCGAGTAACTAGCGACTTTTATTTTGCAAAACAGTTTTTCCTTTGCTTTTTCTGTAGCTAGATGATCTGGGTGCACTGCTAGCAGTGCGCTATTCTAAAAAAGCTCTGGATGCGCATTACATATTCGGCTGGTGAGATGTGACTAAAATACAGTGATCTAACAACTGTGCGAAAAAGATGGGTTGTTTGCTTAAACTAGGTCGAACGTTTTGGACTGCTTTGGCAAATCGCATTCGCTGAACACTTACGTTTGACCGTGTCGTTCCCGCCGGCGTCATCAGGCCAGGGCCCACCACCATCGTCCGTGTCCGCATCCGCTGTCATCGCTGGCGCGACCGTCCCGTCACTCCCCCCGTGCCATGGCCCGCCGCGGAACCCCGGGTCCGGCGGAAATTGGTCGGCCTCCACCAGATCTATCTGGTTGACCGTCACGACGCCGTTGCACTGATCGGACGCACACAGACAGATGCGATCCCGGCTGCTGACCTGCCGGCACCAAAGGCGGTTGGTGGACGGCTGGGCTGGTAACTGAACGCCGGGTTTACCGCACGACCTTCCTACCCATGCCGGATCTGCGACAAGAAAAGCGCCCATATGTCATTAGAATGTGCTTCAAACCTCTTTCTTAATTTCCGTTCTGCCACATTCAACTGCTTAGCAGGCTCGACCAGTACAGCTGGACAGACTCAACAGTACTACAAAGTGTCTGCGCATACAAAAATATAGACGACCTTTGAGTTTAGAAACTTTTTGTATGACTCTTAATAACGTTGCAAAAAGTTTCGAAAATTCAGAGCATGATTGGATTTTCTACAGAAATTAAAATACAGTATGTCGCTGAGTGGAGTAAAGCGGAACAGGATTATAACGAAACATTAATTCTGCAGCGGCGGCATCTGTGTGTGCGTAAAAAACAATATCTGTGTGTGCGTAGGTGACATATATTACCGAATGTTAGCAATGAAGCAAATGATATAATAGTAATAATACTATATTACAACTTTATTTGGGTCCAGATGACTTACTAATGAGCATGTACAGTAAGAACTTTTACGGTCACATTGAGTAATTTTCTGGCAACGAACATTCACCCTAGCAAAAGGCCACAAAAGGCTGCTGTTGGCCAACCAATCGCCATCCCTCAAAAGGCTAAACTGGCCAATCGCCAGCCGGGCAGTAATATATTTTAAGTAACACCCTGTGGCGCGCACTTACTTAATATAATCGCCACACCCGAATCCATCGGCCGAGCGGCGACAAACTCCTCGGTCAGCTTCTTCCCGCCGTTCAGCCCCAGGATGAAGCGTTCTGCCCGCTTTTCTTTCGTACCCGGCGGCATCTGGGCGGTCTCGAAGCCGAGCACCTGCTGCAGCAGCGTGGAATTGGTGAAGGTGAAGGCGACGCGCGGATTGGCCACGGTCAGCACGATCCGCCGGTCCGTCGCGGATTTCAGCCGCATGGTGAAGCTCTTCCCGGCCGGCAACGTGCTGGTGGTATCGGTCTGCAGGCCTTTGGGGTTAATATTCAGCTCGGCTGGGAGCGAAGGAGAACGCTTTTCGATCTCTTCAAAGAGGGATGGATTGTTGATGCTGTCTCCGCTGAGCGTGATGGAGTGCATGGTCTCCTCGGTGATGTAGACATAGGACTTGTCCACTCTCTCCACCGGAGCGATGTCTTCGATTATGGGTATGTTGATTTGGTGTTTGGTCTGCAAACACGAAACCTTGAACGTAACCCTGTGACTATTGGCCACATCCTATCCTAAAGCGTATGCGCTTTTCTGCTCCTGGACGCTTTCTATTCAATACCAGCATTGAAGCGTGATTCTGGAACGATTTGTTAGCTCCGACGCTGCGACATTTCGCTGTGGGGCATAATACTTGAAACATTTTATCTTTGCGACATTTTGACGCAAGACGTTTGGGCGCCGGCAGTTCACCGCATATGAAGACGATAGTGTTTACATGTTTTCCAAGTTTTCTTCTTCTGTTGTCTTATGCTTTCTTATTTTTTCGTGTGTTCCTTAAGTTGTCTGTTCGTTTATGTTGTTCGTTGTCTTATGTTCGTTTATGTTTTCGTAGGTTTTCGTGTTCGTCTTAAGTTTCTTAACTTAGAATTTCTTAGGTTTTCTTTGAGGTCTGATTTTTTTAGGTTTCTTGGTTTTCTTTCGTTTTCGGGACTTCTTTAAAGAAAGTAGTGTAATATTAATTTTATTGATATATGACATGTTTTTGCCTCAATACGGTTTCGCGACGAATTGTCTCGTTGTCAAAACGGCCTCGTCACGAAATGTCTCGCGGCATGATGTCCTGACGACTAAATGTCCCGCGACAAAATGTCGCGCGGCGAGAAGGCATTCCTGCGAAATGTCTGCAACCAAATGCCCTGCGACTAATTCTCCTCTGCGAAATATCGCTTTGCACACATTTTTGACGTTTTCTGCTTACGAACAGATTCTGACTTCACAGTGTTTCGAGGGAACATCTTCAAGTGAAGATCGCTTACACTATCCAAGTTTCCACGGCTTAGGAAATCAAGCCGACAGTAATGCGTATCGGGTGCGCACTGTGTGACGCGGTCGGTACGGTTGATGTGGCAGTCCCGGTGCAAGGTGCTGGAGTCACATTCGTAGCAGCTCTTAACGATGGCCCACGCTGCCGGAGGAAGCTATCAATAAACACCACGAATATAGATTTTCAGAGCGACATCCGACAAAATCCGAAGCGTTGCAACTCACGAATAAGGGAAGGGGAAATAGCCAAAGTAGCATCGGCTGCTGGCGCTATTACAGGATCAAGACAAATACTACAAACCCAGCAAGTATGACAGGCTGGTCATTGGTCAGGTGATGGCGCAAATGCAGTCCTAAGAATCAATTCGAGTATAGTATTCTACTGCAAAACATTCGGTAATACATTATAGGTTAAATTTACCACAGGAGACCATAATTTTAATATTACTGACTATTTACTAACGAAAACGATATTGACCGTATTACGACAGATCAGCTATCTGAGGGTGAGCTGAAACAGTGGGCAGAATGCAGATTACATAGCCAACAGATAAAAAGATTCACACGAATGCGGGTAAATAATCCCGTTCGTTGCCTAGGAACTCTTATTTCCTGTAACAATCGTGCAGAATTGTGCTAGGAGCTTAAGTAATACAGTACTTTGAATTCTGATTCCACGGAAGAACGATACTAATATCAATACAAATTCGCCAACCTCGCATGTTTTTAGAGGAACGTCTTGTTTTATCACAAAAAGATGGAGAACTGTTGCCGGCAACAATAACATCTCGCGCCAAACATAATTACAACATCATCGCATTATAACGAGGTGCGAAAACGTTACTTTATTGCTCCTAATGGACTTAAAACACATCTTAAACTTTGGGAAAATTGGTGACCTTTGGCACTATAAAAGTTCAAAAAATATATTAACTGCTACTGATGTTCTGAGCATGTTGATGACCTTTTGCAATAACTGGTTAAATTGCATATACTGTAATTCAGAACCTTTGAATTTTCGGCTTGTTGGTGACCTTTCGTATACCTATAAGTTGAGTAGAGTTGACGATAGTACACCCGAAGTGTCGCTCCAGTTTGACCACATCCAGCGGACTGAGATTGGTGCTCTGCCCCAACGCAGCCGCCATTTTCTTGGGTATGATCGTCAGCGCGGACGAGCTTTTGACGAAGGCGTTGCACTTGAAGTGCATGACGTCCACGTCCCGGTGCCAAGTGGATCGATTGCTTCCCGCCTTGCCGACCGATACTCCATGCACACCTTTTTAAAACAAAATCAGTTTGTAGATACTAACTGTGTTTTCGGTTTTGTACTGTAGATTGATATTAAGAATTCATGGAATAGAAATCAGTTGAATTAGCGCGCTTAATTAAGACCCGAAATGCGAGAGAATGAGATGAGTTTATTAAGGCATTATGCGTTTGAACAAGGCATCAAATGCTTTAGTCCTACAATTACAGTAAATCTAGGCATCCAGTTAAATTATCTTGCTACATTTACAACGAGGCATCGGATCTTTTGGTATTACATTTAAATCGAGGCATCTAATATATATTCGAATCAGGAGGGTTAGAAACCGTGTCAGTGTGCCGAAGGTTAAAAACCGAAGCCGGGGCTGTTTCTTGTAGTCTGTAGAACTTAATTATTATAACCACTTGTATACATACAGTAGTTACAGAATAGTTAAAGTAGATAAGATACAGATACGTGCAACGGCGCGACGATTATGGACTGGGAGAATGTTTGACTATTTGATAGTTAACGAGCCTCTTCATCCCGCCAATTCGCAGGCTGTTCAAACAAGCAGCTAAGCCGGATTTAGCTCCTGCAACGCTGACCATAATTACCGTCAGGTGGCGACAGCACATCCTGCCGGCAGTCTGCCAGCCAGCAAAATTAAAGCCTTCCCTTCCCTGCTTTTCAAACTTCTCTTCACCGCGATCACGATCATCCCAAAGTCTCCAACTTCAAAAGCCTTTTATGCAGGGTACTAATCCTATATGCCAAGAAAAATAGCAAAGGTGTTCCTTTGGGCATTTATGCCGAGCATGGCCGGAAACGGCCATCACAACGAGGTGCTTCGTTTTAAATGTTGTATACTGTAACATTTTCAGTTTTCTTCGATTTCTTTCTAGCTTTTCCGATCCAGAGGTTTCGGGGTTGTTCCGTTGTTGTAATATAGATCTCGTTCAATGATTAGTCGTATAAGCGGTATCACTGCATCGACTGTTTTATATATGTACATAACAAAATATATAAATAACAATGTTGTATTATTAATTGGTACCGATTACCGAATGATGACCGTACAAACGGTTTCCACAAATTATCTGGCTAAAAATTACAAATTATCTGGCTAAATTATCTGGCTAAATACAAATTATCTGGCTAAATACAAATACTAAGTACAAATTGGCTAAATAATATCTGGCTAAGGGAGCATCCATAAATTACGTACGCAGAAAACCACGGTTTTTTCACCCCTCCCTCCCCCTTCGTAGCGGTCCGTCACGTTTGCTTGACCCCTCCCCCTTGGTTCGCTCAATCGCAATACATGATGACCACCTCCCCCGGGTTCGTCGGGGTCGTCACAGCTTGTCACGTTTTTTGGACCCGTCCCTCCCTGGTTCGCTGCGTACGTAATTTATGGATCCCCCCTAAATACAATAAAGTCGTATAAGCGGTCGTATAAGCGGTAAGTCGTATAAGCGGTAAATAAAGTCGTATAAGTCGTATAAGCGTTAGTCGTATAAGCGGTATCACTGCATCGACTGTTTTATATATGTACATAACAAAATATATAAATAACAATGTTGTATTATTAATTGGTACCGATTACCGAATGATGACCGTACAAACGGTTTCCACAAATTATCTGGCTAAAAATTACAAATTATCTGGCTAAATTATCTGGCTAAATACAAATTATCTGGCTAAATACAAATACTAAGTACAAATTGGCTAATAATATCTGGCTAAATACAAATACTAAGTACAAATTATCTGGCTAAAAAATTTATCACAAAACGAATCTAGAAAGTGTGTGAGAGTTAATTCAGCAAGAGAAACGGATATGTGGAGACGGCAAACAGCACCGCTGTGTCTTATAACACATATTATGAAGACCTGCGGGGTGTTAATATTAATCCATTCCACCAGCGTGGCGCTCTTATGTATTACAGCTTTCCGTAGGCGGTGGTTGCTGTCGGTAAAACAAGGCGTTTGATATGACGACCAGCAGGCAAACGACGTGGTTGTAGATTTAGACGAGGAGGATGAGGATGAAAACGCGATCGTTCAAACGTGTTTGCTATTCCCGTGGTGCTGCCTGTATGGCACCGGGAGCCACAAGCTAGTTGCCATATAACCACAGATTACAGGCGGCGCTGCGCAGCCAGAAACTACTGTATACGCTGGCAATAACGTCCAACGGGCTGGGCACTAATGGTAGAGAGCCGTCAGGCGGGACACCAGTCGCAAATGTAACACCACAAGGTATACCGGCACAGACGGTTCAGTTGGTTCACGTCCACGCTGGCCGCAGTGTCGGCACTCCATGGGCGTTTCCGATAATGGGCCAAGAGACGCGGATCGCAGGACTGGTAGCCCCATAAAATCTGCACCATTAATCAGCTGCAGTCACAGCGCTTATGATGCTACAAGCCCGTTACAAAAACCGCTGAGCACTGTACATAACAGAGAAATCCGATAAACTCTGCCTTGAGCCATTCGGCGCACTAGGTCACTTAATTTATGTAACTGTGGTGCACGAGAGGGTTCCTAGACAGTTTTTATGCGCCAAAATGGGCATCCACTATAACGCGGTACTGTAGTAAATGTTGTAGGAACCACTTCATCCGTTATTATACACGGCTTACGTGCTACATTCTTGCAATGCTCGCCAGTATTGAAACAGGTTTGTACCTGGTGACAAAATTTGACATACAGTACATCAGGATGACTCCTGAAGATGGCACGCGCAATAGGGCGAGCAAGAAAACAACAACAGTAATGGACAAATACGACCGATATGGCGATGTAGTTTATGTTTTGTGTAAAATTTCTTACCTCCATCACATTCCTAGCCATGACTGGGTTGTCTATGTGAGAGGCCAGGCAACGAGCCATTCGGTGGACGCTCAACGGCGACCCGTTCCATGCTCCAGGAAATCCATAACGTTCGTCTCCTCGACGTTCGACCGGGTGAACACGTGCGAAGTAATGCGGAAATGCAGCAGGGGCGTTCGGCTCCTTTGTGGAAGATTGACAGCGCACAATCCCTCCAAACAAGTCTTTCAAACTGCGCCACACAACCATTAGTGTGGCGCAGTTTGAAAGACTGAATTGGAAGGATTGCTTGGAATCTCTCAAGGTCAAGTTAAAGTTGCCGCGCTCGATAGATGTAGGTTGCATGGATCGATGGCAGATGATGAGCCGGTGGACGCCGCGCTCATTATAGGCGTTAAGGGCCTGCTGCATGTCCAGCAGGTCCTGCCTATACATCAGGCTCCAGTGGACACCAAGAGCTCCTTCGTGGTCAATGGTAATGGTGTTGGAGCTGCTGGTGGTGGGCGTGATGTGCTGCAGCAAGCAGGCGTGCAACCAGTACAGACTGCGATCGATATCCCCCTTTTCGGCTGCAGCAGATATAAACGGGATCCGCGTATAACTGACGCGCAAATCGCGGTTCATTTCCGGCAGCTGCATCATGCTGTCCCAGAAGGGACAGGCACGGCGACACCGCTGCCGGCCAACGGTGTCCAGTGCCCGGAAAACATCCTTCATCAGGTGCACAGGCAAGGAGGCCAGTGTCCAGTCGTCGACACCGCTGCCCGACGCCGATGACGCGGTCGCCGTTAATTCAGCCTTGGAAATCCGCTGTCCGCCAGTAAAATGACCGTGCTGCGACGTCGCAGGATTCCCAGCAACGTTTTGAATTTCCCTCGCGAAGGCATTCGCCTACAGTATAACGCGATTTCATATATACAAGCAGCAACTACAATACCAGTAGCGGTGTGTATTTCTTTGTAATAATTTCCACGACCAGAAACGTTGACCTTTGTTGAAGACCTTGCAGAGTCCCGCAGTGGTACCTCTTGCCTCCGTCGCACGTAATGCATTGTCGCTGCGACGATGCGGACGCAGCGCATGGCCAATTGCTGCTCCACTCGGCGGAGCAGGCATGTCCATTTAGACACCGGAAGGGCATTCGGATTAAACGTCGCTGGCAGGCTGTACGCTCTCATTACGAAATGGCCCTCCGTTAGGCGCAGTCGCTGGCCAGTTTCTTTGCCAATCCCGCGGTTAAATCGGGCTGTATGGAAGCAGAGCGCGTTGCCGCTTCCCTGTGGCTGCCACCTCCTCGTCCAGCTCCACCAGCGCCATGCCATGCAGATGGCGGAAGCATGCAGTGAAAATACTTCCTCCGTACCACAGCCACTGGCCACGCGTGGTACGGAGGAAGTATAGTCACTGCAAACCTGCACTCGTCGCCTTGGCCGGCA